CTTGCTCAGCAAGGGGCCTGCTTCTCCCTTTGCCTGCCTCTGTCTCTCTCTCTCTGATAAATAAATAAAATCTTAAAAAAAAAATTAAAAAAAAAACAAACAATAGAGTTCTGAGTTTCTTTTTTTTTTTCTTTAAAGATTTTCTTTATTTATTTGAGAGAACGAGAATGAGAGAGAGAGAGCATATGAGAAGGAGGAGGGTCAGAGGGAGAAGCAGACTCCCTGCTGAGCAGGAAGCCCGATGCGGGACTCCATCCTGGGACTCCAGGATCATGACCTGAGCCAAAGGCAGTCACTTAACCAACTGAGCCACCCAGGCGCCCGAGTTCTGAGTTTCAAAGCCCAAGATTTTCCCAACCTGTGTCAGCAGATGATTAGATTACTGTTAAGCCTTTATAGCTCTTTTCTAAATGGTTCAATCCCTAAGATGCATATTTTTACTTTAAATTGTATATTTTTTTCTGAGTATTCACTCAGGAGGAGTATTTTTTTTTTAGGAGGAGTATTTTTATACAGAAAAGTTAAACAGAGCAACCATGCATATTTACAAAAGTTCACAGACCCAAGACTTAAAGAAATTGGACTACATCTGATTTTATTGAGATATAAAGACATAATTTAAAAACCACACACAACCCATAACATTGACACTGTAATCCTGTGTGTGCAACAACAGCTGGAAACATCTCATTTTTATGATAGTAGTAAAATGCAGAAAGATTATGTAGGTTATTGGTTTCAGTAATCCACCCCTCAGCGCCATAAGACTGGAGTAGAGAACAGGAATTAGAATTGCATGTCATACAGGAGTGCCTGGGTGGCTCAGTCCGTTAAGCAGCTGACTCAGTTTTGGCTCAGGTACTGATCCACAGTTGTGGGATCAAGCCCTACATCAGACTCCGAGCTCAGTATGGAGTCTGCTTGAGATTCTCTCTCCCTCTGCCCCCCCCCCCCGCTCACGCTCTCTCTCTCTCTAAGTAAATAAATTTTTAAAAATCTTAAAAAAAAAAAAAAATGCATGTCATATAGTTCTGCCCCAATTAGTCAGGTAGCAAACTTGCTTAATAGTTTACATGTGAATTTAAAGGGAAATTATAAGATGAAACTCCTACAGAGTACAAGATTCAGATTATATATTTAAAATTGTTTTTATTTTAGGAAAATTTCAAACATACACAAAAGGAAAGAGAATAGTATAATTCACCTCCATGTACGCCTTACCCAGTTTGGACAACTTCCTATTCACCGCCAATATTGTTTCATCTGTATCGTTAACTCCGCACGCCTCCCTTTATTATTTTTAAGCAAATAGCAGACATCATAAGTTTTCATCTGTAAGTATTTCAGAATGTGTCCCTAAAATGTAGTCTTAAAAAAGGGGGGAGGCTCAGCCAGTTAAGCATCCGACTCTTGATTTCAGCCCAGGTCATTATCTCAGGGTTGTGAGATCGAACCCCACCTCCGACTCCATGCTAGGTATGGAGCCTGCTTAAGATTCTCTCCCTCTGTCTCCCTCTACCCCTCCACTCCCCTAAGAAAATACCAAAACAAAACCAGGACATGCGACCCTTGATCTCAGGGTTGTGAGTTCAAGCCCAGTGTTGGGCATGTAGCCTACTTAAAAAAATAAAAATAAAGTTGTCTTAAAAAAAAAAAAACGAAACCACTACAATACCATAATTGTACCTAAACAAAATTAACAGTTCCTTTTTTTTGTTTTTTAAAGGTTTTATTTATTTATTTGACAGAGAGACAGCGAGAGAGGGAACACAAGCAGGGGGAGTGGGAAAGGTAGAAGCAGGCCTCCTGCTGAGCAGGGAGCCCGATGTGGGGCTCGATCCCAGGACCCTGGGATCATGACCTGAGCCGAAGGCAAACGCTTAACGACTGAGCCAGCCAGGCACCCCGTCACATAAATTTTTAAAAATAATTTGGTTGTAGATAACATACTTTAAAATAAGAAGCAACCAGCTGGATCTTTACTAATTGCATTTTCCTGTAGTACTAACCTGAAAATACATGAAATTGTATCCTATTACAGAGCTTACTGAAAGTCCTGCTGAGCTCTGATCATTGACCAAGACATACAGAAACAACAGAACAAAAATGAGAAATCTTTGTTGCATTTTAAAACTTCAAAAGAGTGATCTTTTCTCTCTTTGGGCTCTGTACTTTGATAATTCTAGGTTATGCAAACCTAACTTCAATAATGAACAGCTGAGTTTAATGGCTATTTAATTGATGACGTTTGCCTCCAGTCCTAACTAACATCTTGAGTACATGAGTTTTATTTTGTCTATTTTTTATTTTATTTTTTTTTAAGATTATTTATTTATTTATTTGACAGAGAGATAGAGGCACTAGTAGGCAGAGAGGCAGGCAGAGGGAGAAGCAGGCTCTCCGCTGAGCAGGACTCGATCCCAGGACCCTGGGATCTTGACCTGAGGAGAAGGCAGACGCCTAACCGATTGAGCCACCCAGGCGCCCCGTGTTTTTGTTTTTGTTTTTGTTTTTTTTAAGATTTTATTTATTTGCGAGAGAGAGAATGAGAGACAGAGAGCATGAGAGGGAGGAGGGTCAGAGGGAGAA